TTTTGCTTATAAAAATATGGCTTTAAGTGTCCTCTATACGATGGTGAAAACCGCAGGCCGCTAAGACCTTTCGTTAAAAAGTTATTTGAAAAACGGCAACCGGCACGACCTTTCCGTTTCGATAGTAATTTTGGTTTAATATAATTATTAGCAACATATATTTCAAGACGACGAATTAAATCAACACCATCAATAATGGTTGTTGAACGAACATGTTTATCAAATAAGGGTCGAAGTAATTTATCTAAAAGCTTTGAAATTCTACTTGTTGATGTGTGCATCGATGAGACAATTAGTCTTAATGGTGTACTTTCGTATTACAACAAACAAAAGAAATGATGATATCAGAGAAAATAAATTTGAAATTTACTTCATGTTGTTCTGGAATGAAATACTAAAAAGTCAGCTCAACTTTTTCTCATTTTGGCATCATTTTATCAAGTTGCCATGCATGGATTTATTTTTTTAAACGAAGATTATGGAGTAAATGAACCATTATCAAATACTGTCCATAATGGATCACTTGTTAATTCAGTATAAGTTCCAATTTTTTGTTGATAAGCTTCAGCTTTCTGTTCATAATCTCTTACATGACCAATATGAAAAATACCACTCTTATCTGTAACACGAAGATTATGTTTTTCTTTCTTTAAACTATGTTGAATTGATTTTATTAATTTAAGTTATTTTTGAGTACGATATATATTAAGATAAGATAATGGAGCCATATATCGTTGATAAACACATGATTCCAGTTGTTGAGAAAATTATTTGATTATTGATGGTGTATTTGACATATGATAAACACCAAGATAAGGTATGATAGCATTTAGAATATTATTATATTCTTGTTTCACTTGTTTTTGTCGATATTTATAATAATTAAGGTAACTCGAATTTGGTCTTATATAATTTGAATCTTAATGGAAAGTAATAACAATAATACACATATTTAATAAAGAATTGAATGATTAAGATAACTATTGAAGAAGTTTTATAACTTACAATTACGTGAAAGAGAATCTAATTGAATACGATTTAATGAGACTTTAGAAACATGGGCGATGATTTGTGGATAAATATTGATTGTTTTCTTTTTTGATAATACATCACGACGATGTTGACGCATTAATTTTGTGTGAAGATAAGATTCTTTATACCGAATCTTATGCATTAATCTGTTTGTGTGACGATTTAGATATGTTTTAACGAAGAATATTAACATAGCTATTTGATTGTTCTGATAACAAGAATTTGTCTGGAATAGTTGAGATTCAAATGTACTGATTTCTTGTTATTGGGGCACTAGTGAGAGGGGCACTAGTTGTTGTTCATTGAGCACTAGTGAGAACTATCTTGAGGCTGACGGATGAGTATGACGTTAAAGAACGCTACAACCAGCTGTAGACCTATCTCAAAGGCCATTCCTCACGTAGTCTTAGCACCGGATTATTCGATTGACTGTCGTACATAGACATAGTCGTGCGGCAGTGAGGCGTAGATACTATGCATAGACCTATGTGCTGGTGTCTAATTTCAGAAACTAAAAACCGGACGACTCCAGCTCTTGTCGTTCAAAAGTTATCAACAAAATATCGAAGTCCACCGTTCATTGAAAAGGATAGGAGTATTTTTTCAAGAACCTTACCACAGATTGTGACTCAATGAAGCATAACGAAAAAAATTTATTTGCTGAGAAACTTTGATGTCAAACAGGGTATTGAGTGTTAATAGTTAACAGGAAAATTTTGAGAAAAATTAAAGAGAATTTAGAATTGTTAAAAAGCTTAAGGAAGGTAAAAAAAGACTTACCAGACTTACCTAGCCGCTAAAAATGTATTCTAAAGCTTTTAAGATATTCCATCTTGTAGTTCGTAAAATTCACTATCAGATGAGGTATTGCTTAAATTTTTTTTGAGTCGTTATTTTACAAATGGGGCTTAAGCTAGTAGAGTAGGCCTCATTAACGTTAATTAGTACTAATTAGTCGATAACTAGCAGGAAAGAACAAAAAATTTTGCATATTTTCTCGTAGTAAATATTCTCCATACATTTCTTCCTCCGATCCCTTTAGATCCTCCGCTCCCTTTAAAGCTCAACTTTTCTCAAAATTTTTCCGTTACACTGAAAAAAGTATTACACTCAATACGTAATAATATACTACTGGATGTATAATTCGATGTCGTGTATCGAACTACGCAAGAATTAGCTCTTCATATTGAAGTTTGAAATTTCAATGAAATTTCTAAAAATCAAACAGATAATCTTCAAAAATTCAAATCTAATTTTTCGAAATCAGCAGCTTTTCGTTAAATCAGGAGCTGACCAGAAGATTTTTTTTCGAAATCAGAAGAAAAACAGGAGAGTATTAGACAGTTTTTTCTTCGACAAACACAACAAAAAAAATCCAATCACTTTTTCAAAAACATAGTGTTTTTTGAATAATAAGTAGTTTTTTTGAAAAATCTCAGTTTTGGAAAAAACAAAATCGATGCAGGAAAACAATTGAAAATCAGGAGAAAATTTTAAAAATAAGCTTCTGAAATCAGGAGAATTTTTATCAGGAGAAAAGTCTAAAAATTAGGAGTCTCCTGGTCAAATCAGGAGATTTAAGCACTCTGGTCTACAAGCACATATATGTCTCTATTAGTAGATATCCCTTGTAGATATCTCTGGTACTGTATATATATACCCTGCGCAGAATTGTGATCTAAAGTAGAAACTGTCGGAGTTAATTTCAGTGTAACATGAGTGTCGTTACGTGACGCTCTTATACCTACACTGATTATAAAACAAAAAGATGAATAAGTAGTTGGTCTAGAAATTCCTGGGCGAATTTCCACTTTCTCGAAAATCACCGAGCATTTTCTAGTTTAGAAGATCAAAATCGAATAAATTTAAATTATTTATAGAAATTGTATTGATTTTCTATAAACTAGAAATTAATTCAAGATTACAGTGTACGTCTCAAAAGAGATATTTTTTTTTTGCAAACTCACACTCACGAGGAAAGGCCACCAACTGCCCCGTCGCTTTTGAGTTCGGACTCTGTGCATAAGGTAGACCCCAGTGAGGTATGAAAAACCCCAAAAGGATAAATTCCCGCAGGCCTTCTATCCAGAGTTATAGCCATTTTACTGGAATTTTAGCCTATGGCAAGTTATATACTAACAAATCAAATAAGGTTGTTTCGACCTGCTTTTTCACCCACAGATAGGTCTATCTGTGAATAGAATC